ACCTTCCTGCAAAAATGCCATCCCCTATTCCCAATTCCTTCGCCTCCGCCGCATCTGCTCCCAGGATGAGGCATTCCACTCCCGTACATCTCAGATGTCCTCGTTTTTCAAGGACCCGCAACTTCCCCCCCCTCAGTGGTCGAGAACGCCCTCCACCGTGTCTCCCACATTTCCCGCAACTCATCCCTCACACCCCGTCCCCGCAATAACAACCAAAAAAGAATCCCCCTTGTCCTCACGTAGCACCCCACCAACCTCCGGATCCAACGCATCATCCTCCGACACTTCCGCCATCTGCAATCCGACCCCACCACCAAAGACATTTTTCCCTCCCCACCCTTATCTGCTTTCCGGAGGGACCACTCTCTCCGTGACTCCCTTGTCCACTCCACACTCCCCTCCAGCCCCACCACACCCGGCACTTTTCCCTGCAACCGCAGGAAGTGCTACACCTGCCCCCATACCTCCTCCCTCACCTCCATCCCAGGCCCCAAGAAGACTTTCCACATCAAGCAGATGTTCACCTGCACATCTGCCAATGTGCATCCGTTGTGCCCGGTGTGGCCTCCTCTACATCGGGGAAACCAAGCGGAGGCTTGGGGACCGCTTTGCAGAACTCCTACGCTCGGTTCGCAATAAACAACTGCACCTCCCAGTCGCGAACCATTTCAACTCCCTCTCCCATTCCTCAGACAACATGTCCATCCTGGGCCTCCTGCAGTGCCACAACGATGCCACCCGAAGGTTGCAGGAACAGCAACTCATATTCCACTTGGGAACCCTGCAGCCCAATGGTATCAATGTGGATTTCACAAGCTTCAAAATCTCCCCTCCCCCTACCGCATCCCAAAACCAGTCCAGCTCGTCCCCGCCTCCCTAACCTGTTCTTCCTCCCATCTATGCCCTCCTCCCACCTCAAGCCGCACTCCCATCTCCTACCGACTAACCTCATCCCGCCCTCTTGACCAGTCCATCCTCCCTGGACTGACCTATCCCCTCCCTAACTCCCCACCTACACTCACCTTTACTGGCTCCATCCCCGCCTCTTCGACCTGTCTGTTTCCTCTCCACCTATCTTCTCCTCTATCCATCTTCTATCCGCCTCCCCCTCTCTCCCTATTTATTTCAGAACCCCCTTCCTCTCCCCCATTTCTGATGAAGGGTCTCGGCCCGAAACATCAGCCTTCCTGCTCCTATGATGCTGCTTGGCCTGCTGTGTTCATCCAGCTCTGCACCTTGTTGTCTCCAGTCCATCATAATTGATTTTACAAGAGTTTTGCCTGAGTGCCTGTAGAACTGGCTTAAACAGAAACATTAGTATTCTTTGACGGTTCTCCCACGGGCTGTGGAAAGCACAGCAAAGGGAAGTTTCTCTGACAGATACACAGCAGATAAACAGTCCATGCCACACTGCAGAAGTGTCCCCAAGATTCTATTGTCATGTGGTCTCTTATATCACTGATCATGTAAATTGACTATTTACCTATTTAGCACTAACATTTTACACCAAATACATCTAAAATTACATTACTATATACTGCTAATGGGAAGCAAAATAATCACATTTACAGAGCTATTTGTTATTACAAGCATGTTTATATTATTTAAGTAGACTACAGGGTGGGGGGAATGTTGTATTTTGCCTTAATTATACGACCTTTTAAGCTTATAAATATTGTGTTTCATTTATTTTGGAACAGGTTTCTCTAGTGCACGGATCATATACCTTTCATCACTGCTTGCAGGACAATGAAAAAGACAAAAAATGGGGTGCACTATACCGCTGTTTGCAAGTTGTCATCTCCTGGTTCAAGTTTCAGGGATACATTGACAAACCTGTACCCACAGTTAAAGAGATTCGGGAAGTAAGATAAACATTTTTTAATACTAAAATGAAACAAAGAATTGCAGTTACTGTAAATCTGAAACTAAAACAGAAATTGCTGGAGAAACTCAGAACATCTGACAGTTCTGTGGAGAGAAAACAGAGTTAACCAGATCTGAAGAAAGGTCACTCAACTCAAAATGTTAATTGAGTTTCTACTTTTCTTTTACATTTTTGTCTAGGCTTATTATCAGGATCCTGGTAAAACATAAATTTAATTGATTAAAAAGTGATTTTGTATAGTTTTTAGTTGTTCATGGAATGTGCATATCATTGGCTCGGTTAGCATTTATTGCGCACCCGTAATGAGAAGGTGGTGGTGAGCTGCCTTCTTAAACCACTGTAGTGCATTTGGTGCAAGTAAACCCAAAAATGCTGTTATAGAGTCATAGAGTCATACAGCATGGAAACAGATTCTTCAGTCCAACTGGTCCATGCTGAACACAATCCCAAACTAAACTAGTCCCGCCTGCCTGGTCCTGGCCCACATCCCTCCAAACCTTTCCTATTCATGTACCTATCCAAATGTCGTTTAAATGTTGTAATTGTATCCACATCCACCACTTCATCAGGAAGTTCAGTCCACACACGAACCACCCTCTGTGTAAAAAATTTGCCTCTCATGTCTTTTTTAAATCTCTCTCCTCTCACCTTAAAAATGTGCCCCCAGTCTTGAAATCACTCATCCTAAAGAAAAGACAACTACCATTAACTCTATCCATAACTCATTACTCTATTAGCTTCTATTAGGTCACCTTTCAACATCACTCCACTGAAATAAGTCCCAGTCTTTCTTTTTCACTCAAACCTTCCATACTCAGGAACATCCTGTAAAATCTCTTCTGAACGCTCTCAGATTTAATAATATCCCTCGTATAACTGGATAACCAGAACTGGGCATAGTATTCCAAAAGAGACCTCACCAATGTCCTCAACATGACTTCCCAACTCCTTTACTCAAAGGACTGAGCAATAAAGGCAAGCATGCCAAATGCCCTTTTAACCACCCTGTCTATAAGTGATGCAAACTTCAAAGAATTATGTACTTGCACCCCTAGATCCCTCTGTTCTACAACACAACCCAAGGCCCTACCACTAAATGTATAAGCCCTTCCCCTGTCTGTTGTACCAAAATGCAAAACCTCGCATTTATCCAGATTGAACTCCATCTGCCATTTGTCAGCCCATTGACCCATTTGATCAAGATCCCTTCGTAATTTTGGAAAACCTTCTTCACTGTCTACTATGCCACTAATTTTGGTGTCGTCTGCAAACTTACCAACCATGCCTTCTATATTCTCATCCAAATGATTTATATAAATGACAAACAGAGGACCCAGAACTGATCCCTGTGGAACACCGCTGGTCACAGGCCTCCAGTCTGAAAAACAACCCTCCACCATTACTCTCTGTCTCCTGCCATTAAGCCAATTGGCAGGCTCACCCTGAATCCCATGTGACCTAACTTTACTAATATGTTGACCCAGTGACAGTGAAAGAAGATAGATATTCTGTCCATGTGCAAATTGGTGCCTGACAATTCTCAATGCACTCAGGGACCATTACAAGCTCCAAGTACATGGACAAGATGCAAGGAAGGAGAATACACTCAGTGGAGCTGGTGTTAGGAGGAGCCCATTCTCCATCACCATCCTGTATGGGAGGGGAATCAATTAAAATGTTTTTCTATCATTTCTGTAATGGCCTCTAGTACTGCTGTAGAGCAAGAGAAACTTGTATGCTACAAATCCTACCTAGTTTCTTGCGCATTTTATAGAAGGATCTTAAATTAGTTGTATGATACTGCTTTGCACATTTAAAATGATCCACTACTTATTTCAGGTGGCCACTGGGGATGCTTACAGGCAGTGAAGAGTACTATGTTAGTAGTAACACTGGTAGTGCATATTAGAAATAGATCCACATATCCAGAAATTGTCAAAAAGTGCCCCAGTTTTTTTTGCATAAAGTAAGGAAAAGCTTTTTTTCTTGAAAGTGGTCCACACCAAATGCCAAGGTGACAGATCAGGTCCACCATTTAAATTAAGGTCAGAAGTCAGACGACACCAGGTTATAGTCCAACAGGTTTATTTGAAATCACAAGCTTTCAAAGAGCTGCCCCTTCATCAGATAAAGACTCCACCTGACAATGCGGCAACGCTCCAAAAGTTTGTGATTTCAAATAGACCTATTGGACTATATACTGGTGTTGTCTGACTTCTGATCTTGTTCACCCCAGTCCAACACTGGCTCCTCCACATCATTTAAGTTTGACTCTTCTGATCTGTAAATTGAAAGAATCAGATCAATGTTTTGCTTTGTTTCTTTATCCAGCTTCTAAATACTTTCCTAAAGAATGAATAAAATTCAAATCATGAAAGCACTATACATGTTTTCAGCTAAATTTTAGCTCAAGAATTTCCATGATATAAGTTGGTTTCCTTTTGCAATTTCAGATGTTGATAAAAATGGATGAAGAATTTGTCCCTATTGTGATAGCAAATGAATGGCTTGCACCTGAAGAGATGATACCATTTTTAAATTTTTTCAATATTTTATGCTCCAGCACTGAAGCACGGTAAGAAAAACAGAAGTAATATAATCATCATTAATTATATTTTGGTCTGTTTTTCATTATAAGCCAGGGTGTAAATGAAGATTGTTGTGAATACATATGTATGCTAAACCAAATAGAAAGGATTTAAGTTCCACCTTAATACCCCTTCATTTTAGTTTTATTTCAATTTAATTTAGTTTTATTTTGCAAAATCATGGAAGTTTCAGTACAAAAGACTATTTGAGAATTTCCACCAATGCTAGCTATCTTCTTTAATCCAATTTCTCTATCTTTCTTCACATTTCTGATTATAATCTCCCTTTGTGAATACTTGTCTATTTGCAGTCTCTGTATGGAACACCACTTGTGATGAAGCAATGTTCTAATAATCCTCTATGAGAATGTTTTCTTACCTTCCATTTTGTTCTTACAGAGATTATATCCAGTCCTATCAAATACTAACTCCTGGAAATAAACTTATATTTTTACCCTCTCAAAACCTTATAGATATTTTGAATACATCTCATTAGATTCCATTCCTTTAACCTTGTCTTTTACTTTGTTTTTGGGATCTGGGTGTTGCCACCAAGGCTAGCTTTTATAAATCACACAGATTGCCCTTGAGATGGTAGTATTGAGCTTTCTTGAACTACTGCAGTCTGAGTGATGAAGGTTTTCCTGTTGTGCTATTGGACATTGAAGGTTGGATTATTCACTGAGGGCAGGTTCCTCACATCCCACCTTAAATGTTGAGGCAAGCTCACCTCCACGGCATGGTTCAGCCCATTTTAATTTTTTTTTGCCTGACTGGTCTTTAATGTTTTGTGATAAGACTATCATCCCACTCCAGGATGAAGTCCTACCTCATGGAACTGCTGCCCTTTGGAGTACTGGCAGCATCACCAAGAACAGAGCCACTGCTGATATTGTAGGAAGCCTGGGCAGAAAAGAAACCATGCATTCCATAATCTTGGATCTTAACAGACCAGGCTGGTTGGCACGAGTGAAGGGGGTGGGAAGCAGGCTGGTCAAGACGAAGGTGAGTGGGCCAGAGTTGGACAATTGGATAGAATTGCAGGGTCTCTAGTTCCCACTGGAAAGCTTGGAAAAGAGGCAATCTCCTTCCAACTTTATTTCCCAGCATCCCACAGGGACAATCTTGCAGGCTCCAAATTGATTGCAGGTATTTCCTGGGACAGTGTTTCCATGGGGCCAACTGCATGATAGCTGAAGGGAATGTCTGTCTAACCAGAGTTCAGCATCAGAAAGAACTGAAGCTTCTGCAACTGTGTCTAGCTTATAGTATATCTTGTTTTGCTGTACCAAAGTATCGTCTCTCCATCACTTCCATTTGATTCCTTGGACTCTCCAAGGAAAGGCATTCTTTAATATAAGGGATATCATCTAATTCATGAATCCTGATCCAAGGGAGGCCCTCCATTGTCCAGTTAGGTGCTTAATTCGTAAAAAACATGTGATGTGGGGATCTTGCCAGCTCTTCAGGTGATAATCAAGAACTTCCCCACCTCCTATCCTTCCCCCACAACTGACATTAAACTCCACCCTTTAGCTCTAAAGGCCACCGGGTGCTCCAGCTCTGACCTTGACAATAATAACACACCTATGCTGCCCTGTGTTTATTAATCCAGGAAACTTTCTTCAAAAGAGATTGGGAGCTATTTCAATAATATCCACTAAATTCCTTTTGACATTTTTCTTCAGACAATTATGTAGTAATTTCTTACAACTAGTAGAGAAATATGATCCAACATACTGGTATACATGAAACTACATTGATTCAGTATTAACCTCTCCACCAAGTGTGGGAGAGGATTGAAGAGTTAAATATTTTTAATAATATATGAGTCCCCTAAATGCCCCATATCAGCCTGTCAGTTGTTTTATACTGGTGCTACTGTCGCTAAACCACTCAAATAGGTTCCCTAGTTAACTGGAAGGTTAATTTACATTTAACAGTCATGGTCAGGTTTGTTTTTCTAGGGCTCATGAAATCCAGCAATAAAAGGGAGATTGGAGTTGCTGCCTCAAAAAGGTAGGAGCCTTTGGGAACTAATTTAAGCAGGAGTGCCTTTGGCCTTAGCTAAGTGTGGTCTGTATTCCCTTCTGTCCGTCCCAGCAGGCATATCTCCGATCTCCCTACTCACAGACCCAGATCTATCACTCCCTTCCTCACGAGTGCTGCTGTCTTGCCCAAAACCAACAAGGATTTAGAAAGGAAATTAAATGCTTTAATTTTAACAGGGCAAAGCCTGAGGAACCAATGGATCTTAGCACTCATTTCCAAGAACAAGGAACTCCAGTTGTGATTTGGAAGACTGTGATGTGTAAGTTTGTGATTTCATTATTTTGTCATTAAAGCCATGCTAATGTTACACGTTAATATTAGTCTCATGGGCTGGAAAGAAAGCCATTTTCATTGAAGTATGATGACATGTAAATTTCATGGTGCCCAGTCAGTGATTGCCCACAGTAAATTTTCCCATGCAACCTTCTGCTTTTCGCTTCAATAATTATGCAAGCAAGGTGATCAGATCTCACCAGTGCCCATGGATTAAAGTCTTCAGTTCTGCATGCATCATGTCCCAGTAAGGACTCTCACTCACCTCATCCTCCAAAATTACTAACCCTTCTTGCCCTCTGTTACCTACTCACTCACTGGTAATATCTCACCAACTTTCCTGCATCACCACTAAGTGCTCTTTCATCCACTTTCATCGCACACAATCCCTCGCTTTGTCTTACTGCACAAAAAGCTGGCCCACACCCAGGCCGAGAGATCCAGGACTGGGGGAGGACTGGCAGATATCAGGCTCGTCACGTTCAACAAGGAGAAAATTCTGGATTTGACATAAGAAGAGAACATCCACTCATGTGGAGATGAGGTGACACCAATAGGCAATCAACAAGTGAGTTTCAATGTGCTGTGCTGCTCTCCCATTAACACCAGCCAACTCATTCCTAATCTCAAGAAGCTTTTACTCATCTTCTCCAACTAATTCCCTCCCTTCTCTTACAGTGGCACTAGCAGCACCAGCAAAGTTTCACCTGGATGGGTACTCTTTCTAAGTTAGTCTTGGGTACACAATGCAATGGGTACATCACTGACGCACCTCCCCAGCTGGTCATGAGAGAAATGGCCTGGCTCTCTGGCACTTAAAGGACTGCTGATCCCAAGAAGAAGATGGAACCCTGTTCTCAGCCATTAATTACTAGGTCAAAATGAGCAGACAGACACAAGGGCATGTGACAATGTAAACTTCACAACTTTAATAACTTAATGGATTGAAAGAATCAGCAATTACTCTCTCTGGAATAAACTGTTTCTCAAGATGAAAGGGACGAGGAGATGCTGTTGTAAAGGAATCAAGAGCAAGAGGCTCATTAACCATCCCTGGAAAAAAGGAGTTGAAACAACATAATCATGCTGTTTCCTGGGAGAAAGGAGATAACATTGCTTGATAATCTGCTGCTTCGAGACAAATGGGCAATCAAGACTGCAGAAATAATGTCCTGAGGTAAAGGAGGTTAATTGCAGGAAAAGCTGTGTTTTAAACAGTGTTAAAGCCACATTTAACAAGGAACAGGGGAGCTACTTCTGATAAGAAGGCAAGCTTCAGACTTGATATCTACAGAAATGTAATCAATGCTGGGGATGAAATAATCTATTGAATTATCAATAACATCACACCACAAACTTGAAAGTGAGATTTGTTTAAGAATCCAACACCAGAACAACTCAGTAGCAGAATTTCGAAGAATAGCACTGCACAAGGATGGAACCCCGGACACTTCCAGAGACAGACACAGTTGGTGGGATTATAGCTAAGTTCCACCATTAATCGAGCAATAGTCAAGTTGAGTTGTTAACTTGCTTACTTGTGGGGTCTTATTTTGGCTGCTACGTGCAGTAAAGTTTAAATCATTGTTTCAGTACTCAATTATTTATGAGCTTTCTGAATAAGTAGCTGAATTAAAAGTATCTTGTGGTGATTTATCCACAACAAATGTCAGGCATATTATCCAGAGGCAATTGATCCAGCAACATTCTAAATATAGTGCTGGTTCTGGCTGCCTTGTGAATAATGTGTCTTTATATTTTTGGGCTTTTTAAAATCATGGAATGAAATGAGAAACAATTATTTTAAAAACTAAAGTTTGTTGCATGCATAAGTAAGCAATTTGATATTCATTGTGAATACTGTTTTCATTACTGTGGATTACATCAATGTTTGCTAATGAACTGGAGCCAGAGAGTTGTTTACAGATGTAGGTTTGGTTGGCAACAATAAGTTTATTGGTCAAGATCTAGTGGACAAATAGTGATGACAAAGGCCTGCCAACAATGATGTGATTGATTCTCAGGTAGTCAGATTTGAATAATTGAAACCCAGATCTAGCAGAACACTGTCTGTCTGATATGCTCATGCACCTGCACTCCATTGCCTTATCATGAGTGCTCAGCAACCAAACCGAGTGAGGTACGAAGGACATTGACCTCACTCCTGCTGTCCATTCCACTCAGGGATACAGGATGGTGCCAGTAGGCACCCACAGGGAGGTGATGAGATACACAAGCACTCAGAAACTTCCTCACAGGACATTCCAGAAGTGCCTGGCCCCTCAACCTCTCCTCAAAACAGAGCCCAAGGCCTGCAGCAGTAAGATCTGAAGAGGGTGAGCCTGCATCTGGGTTGAAGATTCTCAGCAGGTCTGGGCTCTTTCAACCTAGCAAAAGCATGCACACTGTAGGTGTCCATTAGCTCCGACTTAATGTAAATCAAGTGACTGAATGGTCTACTTCTGCTCCGATGTTTCTGAATTGTCGAAGGCTGAGTCGGTCCAAAAGCAGACATTATGACGTGGTGATGCTGCTGGTTTGTTTATGCCAACTTGCATGGATGAAGAGTCAAGGAGATGGTGGTCATAGACAATGTAGGGACATTGTGCAGAACAAACAGTTCAATGCAAGCTGGCAGAGACAGGCATTCGGTAAGCTGCAGTACAAGGTTCCTACTCTTGTTTTATCATCAGAAATTTGTGCCAACTAGTTTCTTGCCGGAGCAGAGGATAATTGGAAGTAGGATATAAATAGTGTGCCTTTAACAACTTGCAAATGCATATAAATAAGGTAGTTGCCACTCAAGGGTAAGATTCTAAAGTCACTATTTAAGGCTTCTGTGGAAAAATAGGGGAAAAAGTCAACATCAAGAATCTGATATTTTGCATTCTGGCCTTATTCTGTCATTATACTTATCATTACTCTCACTAAACCAAGTATGAGAAAATTATGCCCCATTTGGGCATTTAAAAATCAACATTGTCGAAAGAAAAAATTGACTTGAATAAGACAGTCTAAACAAATTACATTATCACATCAAAAAGAACTAGGCTAGAAAAGTTATTCGAGAAAGTTTCACTGCAACGTCTCCACAGAAGACGATATCAGCTACAACTTTAAACAGTCCCAATATTGAGAGAAAGGTCTTTAGCTTCTATCTGCAGCTGACCAGTCACCAAGCTGTGAACTGCTTATTTTCACTTCCTTTTATCACTTTACTAATGATCAAAAGGAGACTAATGGGTCAGTAGTTGCCTGGATCAGATTTGACCTGCTTTTAGTCCCAACCAGGAAACACCTGGGAAATTTTCTACATTTTTGGATAGATGCCAGTGTGCAGCTGTTACAGAACAGACTGAACAAGTCTTGAGTACTATTGACAGAATGTGATCAGGGCCTACAGCGTTTTTAATATAGAATCATAGAATCCCTACATGGAATCAGGTCATTCAGCCCATCAAGTACACACCGACCCTCCAAAGAGCATCCCATCCAGACCCACCCCCTACCCTATCCCCATAACTCTGCATTCCTGATGGCTAATCCATCTAACCTGGACACTACGGGCAATTTAGTTTTGCCAAACCACCTAACTCATACGTCTTTGGCATGTGGGAGGAAACTGGAGCATCTGGAGGAAACCCACACAGACACAGGGAAAATGTACAAACTCCATACAGACAGTCACCTGAGGGTGGAATCGAACTCAGGTCCCTGGCTGTGATGCAACTGCGATTATCACTTAGCCGCTGTGCCGCCCCTAATAGCCAGTGCCTTCAGTTGTTTCTTAACGTAATGTTGAGTGAATCAAATTTATTGAAGATTGGCATCTTTGATGCTGGGTTTCACCACAGAAAGCCAGGATATATTTTCCACTCAGCACTTCTGGCTGAAGATTGGTGCAAATGTTTTAGCCTTATCTTTTGTGCTGAAGTGTTGGGACTCTCCATTATTGAAGATGGGAATATTTATGGAGGTTCTTCCTCAAGTGTCTTGTATACTCATCCGCAGCCATTCACAACTGAATGTGGCACGTCTCTCTGAACATCAAAATTTACATGTTTCACATCTTTAATATTCTGTTTTTCTATTCTTCCAACCAAAGTAAATGCCTCACACATTTCCCCATTAAGAATACCTGCCCATCTTGTTGTTGGGAAACCAGGAGAAAACCACCTCGTGTGCTTTAAGTATGGCAAGCTGTGACAGAAAACTGCTGGGACACAAAGAGAATTGCCAGAGATGCTATAGCGAATCCAGTGTCTGTGGCTGTGAAATTTGTGAACCTTTGTTCAAATGTGGCTGACAAATGGTATGACTACTAGGATTTTGCATTTAAGGGGAAAATGCCCCTAGTTTTTTTATCAGAGCTGGAGAAGGCGATCAGCTTTTTGCAGACTTTGCTAGTGCCTGAAAATTGAGTTTATGCCCAAGAGTAGAATGAATACCAGGGTGCTTGTCAAAGGACTCATCAGAGAGTATATATTGCTCCAGTGCAAATTTATTTGGAGAACAAACTCATTACTGGGCTGATAATAGTGGGCGCCATCCTGAGCTTGCCCAGTTATTAGAAAATGACTTGTTAGGTTGGAAGGTAATAACCCCAAAGTGTCCAGGGCAAGCCAGGGAGACTAAGAAGGTAGGGAAAACTAACAGAACCAATAGAAAGTGATAAAGGCAAGGACAATTCAAAGAGGCAGTGAGAGTTTAAGAGGCCAATAAAAGCTAACAGAGTTGAAAGGTGTCTAGGTTAGAGATGGTAATGTTAGAAAAGACCAGGAATTAATTTGTTGGATTTACGATGGACAAAGCAGAACTAGGGGAAAGCAAAAATGCTAAGACAAGAATGGCATATGAAGAAGGAAATGAACCTGGAGTATGGCTAGCAGAAACCATTTGTCCAAATTTAAATGAGGACCAGGGTAGTTCCAAGAAGACAAACAGAAAGTACGGTGTTGCCTCACATGGTTGAAGAGTCACAAGTGA